TGGGCCCATATTTCTATATTTACAGATATGTCCCTCACGAATTTCCATACAGGCAGGTCTCTCGGTTAGTCCTCAGCCAAACAAAATTACGAATCTGTCCCTACCTAGAGTACAGCCTCGTCAGAGATAGGCTACAGGCAACCTGGAACCAGCAAGTCATTGCAGGAGGATGGTGTGCGGGACATGGGACATGGCAGGAGGGGGAAGTGGGAGGTAGCGGGAAGTAGGTGGAAGACGGTGGGATGGAGGTGGTAAATGGCGGGAGGCGAAATTGGAGGTGGCGGGAGGTAGGTCGGAGAAGGCGGGATGGAAATTCGACAAGGTGGAAGAGAGGTAGGAAGAAGACAATGGAAAAGAGGTGGAAGACGACGGAACAGCAGGAACGAAGTGGCGGGAGGTAAGTGGAGGATGGCGGAAGAGCAGGAACGAAGTGGAGGGAGAGAGGTGGAGGATGGTGGGAGCGACGAGGGAGATGGGGGGAGTGGAAGTAGGAGGTTGTGGTAGAGACGAAGGAGATGGCGGGAGGGGAAGTAGGCGGGAGCGGGAGGGAGAGTAGGAGGGAGTGGGAGGGACGAAGGAGATGGTGGGAGGGGAAGAAGAAGGTAGACGACAAGGGAGGAGAAAAAGAAGAAGACGAAGCAGAGAAAAAGTTAGCATTTTTTTTCTGAACGCTGCACCGGGGCCACATGGGGCCCGTACGGGGGACCCGCACGGTCGTGCAGCCGTGCAAGGATCCGTGCGTCCCGGGGGCACCCGTGCGCACGGATTTTTTTATTTTTTTTTGCTTGTTTGTTAATTCTTAGTAGCTACACAAGCGGTTAACAGGGACCCCCAATTTTCAGCCCTAAAACATTCTACGGTAGAGCAGGTACAGCCGCCGCTCCCACGGTCTGGCAGATAAATTCTGACGTGCCCGCAAGGTCCATAATAGAGCCGTGCGCAATGTTTCCTCAGCATATGCAGTGTGGGGACCACATCACGTCCAGACACCGCCCCCAGGAGGGCAAAATCATTTGTCCATCTTGTATTGGAATTCGGTACAGCCTAGATAGTCAATTTAGTGTGATAGTCAAAGCTCTTAGCGCTGTTTGATGAGCCCGCGTAGTATTAGGTAAAGGCTGACCAATCTGATGATGATTATCTGGTCTTTTCGGATGATCAGCCACACTGGGGGTTCCTGCCCATTTCTCCACCAATTCGAAAACGTTCTCAAAAGGTCGCGAAGGAGACGTAAGTCTGCTGCCATTCGAATCCTCGGGGCAAATAGGACATTCCGGAGTGGCTTTAGGCGTTCTCCGGGCACACCAAGCACAGCTGTAGGGACTGACTGATGAGCCAAGTGAACCACAAAAAAAACCACTTGTTTCACCTCTGGTAATTCCATCACCTATTTGAGGCTATTTCCAAAACTTTCGGCTATGCTGCCAGCGATGACGGGAGTGAGTCTTAGATCCAGCCAGATTTGCGTTCACCATTGGATGTTCGTTGGATTGTTGCCAAACGATGGGGTAGAAATTGTCGAAACCGTCCTTCGGGACATCCGTTATAATTGGAACGATACACACAGAGAGAAGATTAGCATGCCCCCTGCGCAAGGAGATGACACGCATAAATTGAGAAATGGTCCAAATTAAAAAAAAAAAAAAAAAAAAAAAAAAAAGTAAAAAAAGTTGAAAGCTTTTCATACTCGACTCGCTCATCAGCGCAACCCATAGAAGGGATTGTTTGACTGGGTGCAAAGGACCCCTTCAGTAAGCGCCCCCTTCTTACTGTAGGTGCAAATTTCACCTAGAAGTGTTTCCAACTTCCCACAGTTCCACACTTTCTGACATCGAATCATTGCCCGACTTATTATCTCCCGATTCCACCAGCCCACCCCCGTCACCTCGTTTGGTGTTACCCATCAAGCCCATGATAGACCCAAAAGGGGGGTGGCGGGGAGGGGGGGGGGGTGTGTCGCCGAAACACTAGCCGTCCTATATAATAACCTATTCAAGTAGAAAAGTTACTGTGGTAACAGGTAGAAAAGTTACTGTGGTAACAGTTAATATGCGGTTTAGGGACTTGGCAAGTGCACTCGCGTTCAAGTTTTGTGCGCACGATCGCTTGAGGTGTTTGCGGGAGCGACTTTGTGCATTCCATTGATGTCAATGGCATTTGTGTGTTGTTGTTTTTTCGCAGCGACTTGGCCAGCAGCAGGGGGGCACGCAAGAGGAAGTCCTCCCATTGGCTGGGAAGCAGACGTGCCGCCAGGGTGCGGCGGAAGAGAAACCGATGTCTGCGAGCGACAAAGGGGAAGTCAAACGGTCTAAGGAAACGGCAAACGTGTCGGATGCGAGGCGGAAGCCGGTGTCCTTGTGGGAGAGGCTGCAGAGTACCCAAGCGCCTTCGCTGAGGTTTAATCTAAACCAAGTGTTGGAAGACGCCGATCGAATGCGTAAAAGCAAAGAAGAGATGAAGAACAAGGACGTGACAGCATTAGACAAGGCTGCCACCATTGGACTACATCCATGTGTATTGGGACGCACAAGTGGCCGCGGCGGCGGACCTTCTCTGCGTGCGACAGGTGGTCTAGCCGATGGTCCTGATGGTGAACCTGCTAGTCAAGAATGGGACCGAAGCGAGAACTCTGGTGTATCCGTGGACGCAAGAAATCCTTTCCCATCGGAAATGAGAGTGGGTGAGGAGGAAAAATACCACCGTCTCAGTGATGACGTGGCCGCTGATCCCGATGACATAAAGCACAAGGTAGTGAAGGGGGATGGAACTGAAGATGGAGGCCCTCCTGGAGGCAGGTTGGGACACCTATGGGGTCCCGATAAGCTCGAGAACTCGGACAATGAAAACGACGACGATTTGCTGGGAATTTTCCTTCCCGGATATCGTAGGTCACGAAAGACGAAGGGTGTCGATGCCAACGCGACCAGAGTGGGCGTTGATGCCGATGGTGGCAGGTCCATGCAGGTTCATACGCAAACACGCAGCTCGCCACCAAGAACACTAGAGACAAAAGCTCGAAATATCGAACAACAGGACCTTCCTTTCAGCAGAAGCATATTGATGGCTCACACTTCAAATTTTTCGGAGAGAACCAAGGAGTCGTTGTTTGAAGACGTCGCTGGCAACAAGGGGGTTGGATATACTGGCCAGGCTATGGGTGTGATGAGGCATGGCCAGGCTTCTTCATCATCAGGGCTGGGGAATGAGGAAGGTCGCTATGATGGTGGAAGTTACAGCTTTAATCGTGATGGACTTGGACATTCGTCTGATGAATTGAGGATGGGATCCGGATCAGATACGTCTTGCGTGCAGAACTTGGTAGGTGTCCCAAGTATCGCGACTAGTGACACAGGACCGCAGAAGGCAAAAGAGGCGCCAAATGACAGCAGTCAGCCGCAAAAGAAGAGCAGCCTGAAAGAGAGATTGATGAAACTTGGAATCGGCAGTTCCGTGTAATATAAGCCGGATTCAGCGCCCGCCCCTCCCCCCCCCTCAAAAAAAAAAAAAAAAGAGCAGGATTCGGTGCAGAGGCCAATGACAGAAGATGATGATCCCGCGTTCAATTCGGTTGGAGGACGTGCAACTGAAAAGGCAGTTGGGATATGCTACCTTCTTCCCCTGAATACAACGTACGTCGTACGGTCATTATAGCTGTATTTGGGGTACCTAGCAGTCCAAATACAGCTATCATATGACCGTACGCTGTATTCGGGAGAAGAAGGTGGGGGTTGATCTTGAACCGCCAGTACACGACCCCGGCAAGGGCCAGCATCCTTGTACAACTCCGTTCATCACGTACTCCTGAGTTTCCGACCACATGGCTGTCGGCGCTAGCCAAAAAAGGAAAAAAAGTACACCGCTGGCTGTTCGGCAAAGCTTGGCATTCAGCGCAGTGGCGCGAGGTGCCCAGGTGTGTACCCGTGGCTTAAACCACCAGTACAAAATGAGAGTTCGAATCTCAGTCTCTCCTAAAAGTTAGGGAACTCAGGACAGGGCCCGCCAGGGAGCAGACGGAATTTTTTTTTTTCCGTCCAGGGCTGCGCCAAGTGCCACCCCACGGCATGGGACAATTTTTTCCCTTCTGCTGGGCCTTCGCACGCCCTGTCCCAAGCCTCCGAATGTTTTTGGAGAGGCTCAATCGGACTCTCAACTTCGTCGGGGCCATGTACCCCTGGTCCTTGTTTAAAACCTAAAGGGCTTAAAGTTCCTAAACCCTAAACCCTAAAGAAAGAATGGAATGGAAGCCTACAAGGTTTAGGGTTTAGGGTTTGAATTGCCTCTACTTTGTTCCAAGTGAGCAAAATAAATTTTAGATAGATAGTTCACTGTTGACCAGAAGTCCAAATTCCCAAGATTTGGAGCTCCTATTGTTTCCTAATTTGGAAACAGAACGCCGGAAAATTGCGGAAATGATCCCGGGCTTTGGAATCATCAGGGGTTCAGAATTAACTCGCTCGGAATCGAACTTATCCTGTGCATGGAAAAAAGTAAAAAAAAAAAAAAAAAAACTTCGAACAACGAGGCAGGTGAACGCAGGATAGGTCAGTAAGACAAATTTAAGAACACGAAGTTAAAAAAAAAAAGAGTTCAAACAACGGGAATCGAAGCGTCTCTGTCGATCCTCAGTGGCCATACGCCATTCGCACGGAAACTACCAATTGTGATGATATGATCCAATCTTTTTTTTTTTTTTTTTTTTTTTTTTTTGCTGTGATACGATGCAATCCTCATTGTCACACGAGGTGTCACATGATGCGCAAGAGCGCCCCTTTTTTTTTTTTGGGTGGAGGTTGTGGCCTTGAGATATCATAATCAGAACTGACCGGCCCTATGTATTTCAGAATTGTGGTATTTTTTACTCATCTTCTTCCAGTGCAGTTTGAACTCAGGTCTGTATTTCGACAGTTCAGGGGTTTACCAATTGACTCAACTGAGTTGGGCCAGTTTGGCGTGCACATTGTTTTCGCTATGCCGCCTAACTTTCCTAAGGTAATTTTGTTGGCTTACTTTTTAGGCGACTAGACTTAGGAAACGCCACTGTGTGCGGGAGCCTCCTGCAAAAGATAGAATGAATTTAATTGAAAAATGGGTAGTGCATTGGCACCTTTTGTTTTTTGTTTTTTTGAAGAAGAAAAAAAAGCTGCTTGTGGACGTGTATCCATATCCGTTCTGGCGAACATCAATTCAGTTCGTAAAACTTCGTATTCCACCGGCAATTTGATGTGGGGTTCTTTTTTTATTTTTTTTTAGCATGGTATCAGCGGTATATATATATATATATATAAACTCCGACGAAACAGTTTGTCACAGCCCCTCGTTTGTTGTCCTCTTCTCCCTCTCTGCCTACGGTTTACCGGGCAGTTCTATTTGACAATATATATATATATA